TTTTTTTTTTTTTTTTTTTTTTTTTTTTTTTTTTTTTAACATAGATAAAGATAAAACAAAAAATATAAATAAAAAGAGAAAATGACTTCGTTTAATAATTAAAACATGCTAAAATAAATAAATACAAAAAAATTAAATAAATAAATAAATTAAAGATCAATTAAATCGAGTTGATTTACAAAAAATATAACAAATACATGGAGAAAAACTTTAAAATAAAAACATAAAAAAAGAAATAAAATAATTTAAATTAAAAAATATTTAAATTTAAAAAAAATAAAAATTACATAAAGAATAAATTATAAGTTATACAAAACTTACCAAATACGTATGAATGTATTCATCATATGTATAAGTCTGTCTGTAAGTAAATCTCAAGGTCTAAACGTGTTCAAGTGAGGCTGAACAAAATCAATTTTTCGATTATTCTCGATAAAAAAGTTATCGAAAAAATAAGACGAACTTGTACTGCGTTCTCTCAGTTCTCTAGCTTTTGTATCTTCTGAGATCGACGCACTCATACGAACAGACAAACGGACAGGGCTATAAAGACTCAGCTCGTCGTCCTGATCAAGAATATATACTTTATGGGGTCTCCCACGCCTCCTTCTGCCTGTGAGTTCAATGAGTTCAGGGTATAAAAATAGATCATTTTTTGACAAGAATTTTTTTTTAACTCTCGGAAATACCTATATGATATTATCCGTCATTAAGAGAGCTGCGATAGTTACTTGAGCAATTCGACGACAATTATATCTGTACCCTTGGAAAAAGAAAGAATTTATGAAATTAAAGGCGTTTTAAAGATATACATATCATACATATATACATATATGTATAATACATATATACATATATACATATATAGCTTAAGTTCAGACACTTAGAACAATTGAATTCGGCATTGTCAAAGGCCAGAACATTTGGATTATAATAGCTAAATGGAATAAATAATTTAGTAAAGTCCCACGAATGCATGTATGGATAAATTGTGAGTCAAAGAAAATGAAAAGAACTTATATAGATACCGTTAATGGATTGTATTAACTAGCTGACAGAGGACTCTAGAAGGAGGAGGGAGGGATGAGGACTGGCCATTAAAATTGTCAGGCAATTTGCATAAATCAACAGCAATGCGAATTCGTATTCGGACTCGAATTTGGATCAGCTATAAAGAGGACATGCTGGGACCTGTTCGGAGCACAGTGCAATAGCAGACAAGATGTTGACTGAGGTAGACTCGACTCGGGCGTTTCGGTATCAATGGTACCTCTGGCGATTCATTGGCCTCCATTCGCCACCATTGGATACGTTTTGGGGACGCCACTACCTGGCCTGGACCATTTTGGTCAATGTGGTGCCCATGTTCTATTTGCCGGTGTCGTTCTATATGGAATGCCTGGTCAGTCGCTCGCTGATCGAATTCTGTGAGACTTTCTACCTGGCCGTCGTCACCCTTGTGCATCAGATGAAGGTGATCAATGTGAGTCGGGTGCAACGCCATTTGCTGGAGCTGCAGGGCATCATGCGGCAGCTGGACGGACGCCTGCAGTCGGAGCCGGAATGTCAAGTCATACGCGACACGATCGACAAGTCGGAAAAGATCTGTCTGTATACATTGCGGCTGTTCGTCATGGTCCTGGCCACGGGCATTAGCTTTGCGGCCTGGTCAGACGAGCGCGAGCTGCCGTTTCCCGCCTGGATGCCGTGGGATTTTCAGAAGACCCTGGGCATTTACGCCCTCACATTCACAGTCCAGTGTGTGGGCATACTTATCCTCTCGTTCATTTCCGCCAGCAACGATACGTATCCGCTGGTCTATCTCGTCATGGTCGCTGCGCACTGCAAGGCGCTGGCCATACGCATCGCCAAGCTGGGCCACAATGCCCTCAGCCCGGAGCAGACGCATCAGCAGCTGCATACATGCATCCAGGATCATCAGACCATACTGCAGTACTAAGAATTATATTTATAAATATATATATATATATTTTGTTTCCAATTCATCCATTTATTCGCTTGCAGATTGATGAGAATCTTGACCACCTCCTTGTCGAGCGCCTGCATCATTCAGTTCCTCTGCACGGCCCTCTCTGTGTGCACCCTCTCGTTCATCGTCATCTACATTGAGATGAGCTTCTTGCGGGCATGTCATTTGATGTTCCTGTTAACGAGCATCATTATTGAGACCCTAATCGTTTGCTATGCCTCCGAGCAGGTCACCCACGAGGGCGAAGAGATGGCCAATGCGATCTATGAAACCAACTGGATGGATCAGCCGGTCCGTTTCCGGCGTACCCTGGTGTTCATGATGATGCGCTCGCAGCGCCCCATTGGCATTGTGGCTGCCAGAATTTTGCCTGTGCGCATGACAACACTGCTTTCGGTGGGTAGAGACGACGAACGAATAGACGGACGGAAGGCACGAGGGGAAGTATGCACACGTAGACGGGTGGATAGACATACATACGGAATGGAAGAAGAAAGAGCAGAGGGACGCAGAGACAGATAGACAGACGAAAGAGCAGACGGAAGGATAGACGGACAGACGGACAGGTAAGCGAGCAGATAGATGAATAGACGGACGAATAGATGGACGAACAGACGCACGGAGGGATAGACGGACGGATAGACAAACAAATAGACAGACGTATAGACAGACGTATAGACCAATGGACAGACAAACGAACAGACGCACGAATAGATGGACGGACATATGATCGGAGAAGTCAGATTGATAGATGGTCAGACGAGACTCCGGGCGGATCGACATATGGGCGGACCGATAGATGGGCAAACATTTACACGAACAGATGTATAGACAGACGGAGAAAAAGACAGACGGATGGAGAGACATACGAACGAATGGAGTAACAACTGGGTGAACGGACAGACGACAGACCCCTTAACGGAAGGACGGCGGTGTAATACATGTGAGGATGGGCTGTCAAACGAACCAAGAGACTGACCAGCATTCGGAAGGACCGACAGATGGGCAGACTGAAGGATGGACGGGCTGACAGATGGATGTAAATATAAAGGGACAAACTAGAATGTAGAGTCAGATATATATCCTTCGGCCCGCTAAGCCCAATCATATATGATATAGTTAAACTAGATATATCGTTTACTTGGTTTTTGTATTCCTATTTTTTTCAGGTTATCAAGGGAGCCTACACTATGTTCACGGTGTTGAAAGAAGCCAAAGCGAGGAACTAAATATGTAGTATATATAAGCAGTATACATGGGCAGTAAAGCCTTATGAATATCGTAGGACACACACACACATACATGCACATACAGAGAGCCGTACGGCTAGGCTTTATATTATTGAAAATTATTGGCACGCACTGTTAAGTAAGTAGGAGTCCTACCGACTGGAGGATACCCTCTACTGTAGTAGCGCAATCGGCACTCGAGTTGCTATTGATCTGAGCTGTACGATAAATATCGGCTTTCTAAAGAAGTTCACACTGTGAAGTTCACAATGTGAAGTTCACTCTTGCCACATGTAATGGCCGTTGTTGCCCATATTCCCCATCGAGTCAGTCGCTGGGCATGCGAAGCCATTGAAGCGAATGCTCACCCAATATGGCCATCGTCGGCTGGCGGCGTTCCGTATCGCTGGCCATGCCGGACTCAGCTGGATGCGTGCGTGTGTGCGTGCCGCCATTTTCATATTCAGCTGCCACCGGAAATGCGCATTTTATGCAAGTGTCACCCAATGGCGTCCAGCGGAAGTTGTTTATCTTATGCCGTTGCCAATGCCGCCAGCAACGCGGCGTATACGCGCTGGCCATTGATAATATAATTATGAAAGTGTCATGCGAATGGGAAAAGGACATATAGGTATATGTATGTACATATATATGTACATATATATATATATATACTAGGCACGAATCGGCTTGGCACAAACTGCTGGCCTGACGGTCTACACTTTTCTGCTTTAATTTAATTTCATCACCTGTTTAAAGCTCATTATGAATAAACACAATTTCTTATAAATCTATTTGCAAACAAAAGATATCCACATAAGCTACTTAGCGCACGATATAATATCATAGGCATGATGGCATTGATATTATATGACATGCTAGGCTCATCAGTGCTAATAAAGGGCATATAATAAGAATAACTTTTCGATACTTCGCTCTATCAATGTCTCCCCTGAGTGTTGGCAATTGTTAAAGGGAATGCAATTTCCCGATATTCTCCATATAGTGATATACTATATCAAGCTAGACTCATTTACCATTCATTGGCCTATTAAAGTTTAGTTGAACATGCGAGCAGAAGAGTATTCAACAGTCGGCCAAGTCTGCGGCAATTATCAGCGAATTTCATTTAACTGATTTTCATAAAATTCATGCAGATAATAGCCGTGTGTCTGGTTCGGTGGCCAAGCGGAGATAACTATCCTTTTTAGCCTTTTTATCTTGGCTCATTTTTTGCCGTTTGTTGTTGTCGTTGTTGTTGTTGTGTGCATGTCAACGGATTTGCGGGTCTGTGACTTTTATGAGCCTCTGACACTGAAACGTCGCGTCGCCATGGATAGCCCCCTCGGCCATGGACTTTTGAAGCGCTTATTACATAATCCTGCTGCTCATTATTAAATGCATTTACAGGATATTAACAAAAAAATTAAAAAAAAGAAGAAGCGAATAGCACCGCATGCTGCCATCCGCTTTAGTTCTCTCTCAATCGCCGCTCATTAAATGCAACAATTTTAATTGATGCCGCGCGCTGCTGCTGCTGCTGCTGCTGCGGTTGACATCCCGCTTATGAGCAAATCAGAGCTTACGCATTCAGCTTAATCATATTTGCAGAAATGTTTTCAATTAAACGACAATGAGACGCGCCGACCAAAGCCCGCATAAGTCGGTTAATGGATATGCGATTTACGATTTGTCATTGCGCCCGTAAATAATCACTGTTATTAAAATGGCCAACGGGCCACTCTATATCCGTATCATATACATATGTATGTACATATGTACGTATATTAAATCATTTCCACCATAAGCTGATACATTAATTACATGTATGTATATGTGTGTGTATGTGTATATATATATGTATCTCTGTATAAATATTTGGTATTGGCATTGCTCTAGATAGCTCTGGATAGGGTTGAGGCAATCGTGCCTAAAAATCCATCTCAATTTTTAATCTTTATTAGTTGCAAATCTGGATGAAATTGAGCTTAAGTTACACACACACACACAAGTGCATACATACATACATATCATAAATCAGCAGAGTTGTGCATAAATCCCAAGCTTAGCTTGCAAATAAGAATTGAGTGCTTCATTGCTTACGCTCAAGTAACACTCTCACTCGCTCTCTCTCCTTTTCCCTATTGAGCGCATTGCATTAAACTATTCGTATGACGACGCTCTCTTAACGAACATCGCTTGTGATGAGAGAGCAATTGCTTGCAAATAATTCCAAGAGGCAATGCAAACGTTCTTCACGCTCTTTCACTCACACTTCCATTTACATTCACATGTCCATGCTCAATTCCAATAAGCAACAGATATGCTTAGCGAATACAACAACCACTTACTTACATACCACTACATGCGCAAAGTACTTTTTGCTTGCTTTCACTCAACCAAACGGTTAGGGAGCAATCAGAGCGTAAAATAGCAACAACAAAAACTATTGCTAGCCGATCGCGAATGAGCTCGTGAAAGAAGCGAAGCAAATGACGCGCTCTGAGTCTTTGCGCACTGTGTGAGTGAGAAACGAAGAAACGGTAAACAATTATTAGCGACTCTGCTCCCATGCGTTGGAGTAGTCTCTCCTACAAGCACAGTTTTAGTTCTTATTCATCTCGTTTGTATTTCACTCAAACTGTAACTTATGGGAATTCACTCACACTACCATAAGTGAAACGAAAGCGCTTCGAAAGCAGAAAGCACTCAATGAAGAGACAAGGATTATTAATATAATTGCTAAATATACATATGTATGTATATGTGTGAATATATAATGTTATTATATGAATATCTACAAAAATGAAACACACATTGCATATATTATGTATAAACACAGCGAGTATATATTTGAAATTTAAAATATTTACACAGAAAACCACAGCGATAGTTGGCAGAACTTAGAGAGAATCAGGAATGTAAAAAATACATTTTTTAGGTAATTAATCTTTATGAATTATATGCAGCACAGCACCAATAAAACATTAAAAAAAAAAAAAAAAAAAAAAACATTATAACAACATTAAGTAAAAATAATTAGCAAACAGCAGCAACAATTGCAGAGAAAAGGCTCTTGAAACGGCTTCGAAAGAAATGTGAAAATGAAACACACACCTAGATAAACATACACACACACACACACACATACACACATGCACATAGACTGTCATAAATGAGTAGCTGCAGCAATGATTGCTGCTGTTGCTGTTGTTGCTGCTGCCTTTGATGTCGTCTGGCTCAGCGCTTAGGGATATTTCACAATGTTCGCAGCGGCTGACGTCTGTTTGATGGCAGCAGCACCTGCGCCATTGTCACCTGCCAGCCTTCCACTTGTTGCGGTTGGCGCTGCTGCTGCCAGTCGCTGTTGCTGTTGCTGTTGTTGCTGCTGTTGCTGCTGTTGCTTTGTGCTGACTGCTGCTGCCGGATGATACAAATGCGTGCCATAATGCACAGCGCCCGGATGGCTAAAATATGGAATTACGGCAGGACTCGCCGAGTGCTGGTGCTGCTGCTGCAGCGGCTGTTGCTCCTCGGCAAAGCCGGCCAAGGACCCAGCATGGTTCTGATAGAATTGTTGGTGCTGCTGCTGCTGCTGCTGGTGTTGCAGCATTGGCTGATAGTGTTGGTATTGGTGCAGCGGCTGCGGTTGCTGGTGTCCTAATGCGTTCGCCGCTGTCAATCGGACAACATGAATCGGTGGCGTTGACTCATGTCCCAGATTGTATGTCGCCTTCGGGTTATTATTGCTAAAGCGTGGCAATATTGCAAATTGATGTTGCTGCTGCAGCTTATGTTGCTGCTCGGCTGGCGCCTGCACATAAATGGGATTGTAGTGGACGATGGGCAACGACTGAGGCTGTTGGCCGTGCAGTGCTGCTGGTGTGGGCAGCACCAATGTTGCTGTTGTTGTTGTTGTTGCTGTTGGTGCTGTTGTCGCTGGCGCTGTGGCGGATGGACTCGCTGCTGATGGCACCGACGCATATTTATGCTGCTGCTCCGCCTGTTTAAGCCCCAGCCGCAATAGTCGCGCCTGCTGCTGCTGCTGCTGCTGATGTTGGTGTTGCTGGTGCAGTGGATATGCTAAAAAAAAAAAGAAAAACATTTGTAGAAAATGTTAGCCAGCCATCAGTTGCATGTTGCACTTGTCATTGGCTCATCATCACAGCAATCGCTGCCAAAAGCAATTCACTCTCAGCTCAATTCACGCCAATTGCTCGTTGCCGCTGCTGATGCTGCCGATGCTGCTGCCCACCAGCAACATGTGTGCAATTCGCTGTTTAGTTTTCGACTTTGTCTCATTTCGACGCTGTAGGACACCACAAACACAAACACAAACACAAACGCTGTGGCTTGGCTCTGGCTGGGATTTATGTACTGTTAGCCAGCTCCATGCTCCGCCAACCCCCCTCCGCCCAACCAATAGCTGACTCTGGCACAATTGTAATGCGATAAGCGGATTTCATGAGACGAACTACTGTCTCGCCCAGTTAGGGTGCTAATGCTTCCGAAAAGGAATATGAAATCAGTTCAAAGTGCATCAGGAAAATACAGTCTTTGCTTCATCCTGCTGAGGCGGGGTTTACTCTCACATAGGGCTATATATCGTATAGCTCTTACATTCTTCAAGCTGTGCGTAAAACGTCATTGGAATACGTCAAAATAACTTTACCAACTTAATTTTAGACCTCTTGAATAGGCTACACCTAGAGTGCTAAGCCTGTACCCTGAGCTCCTGGCGCTGCCTTAGCCGAACTTTGGATTATTTTTACATCAATAGAAAGTCTCTTCCAAGCTGAATTCATAACATTTTGAATAGGCTACACTTAGGGTGCTTAACTCGTACTATATATTCTGAGCTACTCAGGATAAAAACTTCTCAAAGAGAATTGTTTTTGATTTTTTGACTATTTTCATACTTTTAAAATGATTAGAGAATCGACTATTCTAAGAAATCTGTGAAGAGGAATTCGAAATAGTCTTCACTTTCAGTCTAACTT